AGGGTTTTGGTGACGATGAGGGGGACTTGGGGTTACGTTGCGCCGGAGTGGATTTCCGGCGTGGCGATTACTTCGAAGGCGGATGTTTATAGCTACGGTATGACTTTGTTGGAGTTGATTGGGGGGCGGCGGAACGTGGAGGGGCCGCCGCCCCCCGAAGGGGGCGGTGGAGGTGGGGAGGGGGAGAGTTGGTTTTTTCCGCCATGGGCGGCGCGGAGGATAATAGATGGGGATATAGGGGCGGTGGTGGACAGGCGGCTCGCCGGAGTTTATGATGTGGCGGAGGCGGGGCGGGTTGGGTTGGTTGCGGTTTGGTGTATACAGGATGAGGAGTCGGCGAGGCCGAGTATGGGGATGGTGGTGAAGATGTTGGAGGGGGTTGTGGAGGTGGCGGTGCCGCCGCCGCCGCAGCTGCTTCAGGCGTTGGTCTCCGGCGAGTCGTTTCGGGGGGTGGGGGTGGAATCCGATGGGCGGGGCCCCCGGGATGACCGTGTCTCGATTTTCGTGGATTCTGAGGTCTCGGAATCATCGGCATAATGGTGAGTGAATTTCATAAAATTTGTACTAGTGCTAAAGAATAACCTCTAAGTTGCATTAATTATTATGATTATTATTAATTATTATTATTATTTAAAAATTCTTTATTATAAAAATAACTGATAACTGATCCTATAAATAGAAACTACCCACCACGTGTCTGAATTCCATGTTATCTATAAACAGTAAACCAACAGAAACCATATAAACACAAACAAACAAAAATAGTAATCAAGAAACACATGCATGCACAATTAACCCTTTCTTGAATTCCTCAAAGAACAAAAAAAAAAAAAAAGAAAAAAACAATTAATCAAATCTGATGATCAAGAAAAGAATATTCTCCAAAACATTAATCAAATATTGAGGAAACTAAAGAAAATGACAGAAGAGGAGGAGCATTGGAAATCAATGCCTCACCCTCTTCGCTCCCATCTTCGTCGAGCCAAGAATTCGTCGTACTCGAAATCGAAAAGCCGCTTTCCGATTTCAAATCGTCCTCCGACAATCAGGCAACCCTCCACGAGGCTCCTTCCACTTTCCTCGCAGGGGGCGAGGGGGGCGATTACCCCCCAATTCGTAGCTTCGACGACTTCAAGAATTTGTTCCACATTGAATCGGTGAAACTGTGGGCTATTGCAGCCCCCATTGCCTTCAACATTCTTTGCAACTACGGCATTAATTCGTTCACCAGCATCTTCGTCGGACATATCGGAGATTTGGAGCTTTCCGCCGTCGCCATTTCTTTATCCGTCATCGCAAACTTTTCGTTCGGATTCATGGTATCTTCTTTTCTCTCTCCTCTGTTAATACTCAGTACCGGAACCAATATATATAAGTCCACGGGGGCCATGACCCCCGCTACTTCTCAAAAACCTACTATTTTGTACACATTTTTTTTTTGACTTGTATATTCTCGAATTTCATGTCTGCAATAATAAAATTATGTATCCCCAACCGTTCTTCGAAGACCTACTACTGGATTGTAAAAGCGAAATATTTCGAGAAATGTAGCATTGTGGGCCCCACAAGAAATATTTAATTTTTTTTTCTTTCTTGAAATTCAACAGCTAGGTATGGCGAGTGCACTCGAAACGCTATGCGGGCAAGCATTCGGGGCAGGCGAAATAAAAATGCTGGGAGTATACATGCAACGATCCTGGATAATTCTGACGTCGGCATGCGTCTGCTTATTACCGCTCTACATTTTCTCGACACAAATCCTGAAGCTGCTAGGTCAACGCAACGACCTAGCCGACATAGCCGGGAGATTCTCTCTCTACATAATCCCTCAGATGTTCTCTCTCGCCATAAACTTCCCGACGCAGAAGTTCCTGCAGGCGCAGAGCAAAGTCGGTATTCTTGCATGGGTAGGGTTCTTCTTCCTCGTTCTACACGTGGCGATACTGTTCTTGTTCGTTCGGGTTTTCAAGTGGGGCTTAGCTGGCGCGGCCGTGGCTTACGATATATCGGCTTGGGGGATTGCTTTGGCTCAGGTGGTTTATATTGTCGGGTGGTGTCAAGATAGCTGGTGCGGCTTGTCTTGGCTTGCTTTTAAGGAGATGTGGGCTTTCGTTAGGCTCTCGATTGCTTCGGCTATTATGCTTTGTTTGGAGATTTGGTATTTTATGAGTATTATTGTTCTCACTGGCCATCTTGAGGAGCCCGTTTTGGCCGTTGGATCGCTTTCTATCTGGTAAAAAACACTTTTTTTTTTCTGTCTGTGTTTGTTTATGTTGAGTGGGGGTCGAAATCGGATTGATTGGGTCGGAATTGGATGCTTTGAGTATTGATATTATTAGTGTATTTTTTGGAGAAATAACTGGGAATTTTCGGAAACATATTCTGGTTCCGACGAAAAAAAAAAATCGAAAAATGGGATCCGAACTTTCGGAATTCTTAATAAAAAATGTTGTCCCAAAATTGGAATCGGCAGAATTCTAAAATTCCATTCCAATTTCCACTCATAATATTGAGAAAAGACTATATTTTAAAACGAGGGTTTTTTTTATATACATAAAACTCGTCTCGATAAATGTAACTATAGGGAGTGAAGATGTCTGGCGTATAATGTAAATGATCTTTTAGCTCAAAACGATCATTACGTATGTAGAATCGATAAATGTCCCATAATTATCTATATTTCAATTTCTTGATTTTTTTTTTCGTTTTCTTACAGCATGAATTTAAATGGATGGGAAGGTATGCTATTCATTGGAGTTAATGCAGCAATAAGGTTCGTAAGACGACAAAAAGAAATGGCTTGTCTTTACTAATTTATTTCAAATTAACTAATTTATTTTTCATTCTTTGATCAGTGTCCGTGTATCGAACGAGCTTGGATCGGGGCACCCGAGGGCTGCAAAGTACTCGGTTTTCGTGACGGTATTCGAGTCTCTACTAATAGGGTTATTGAGCATGGTGCTTATTATAGCAACAAAGGACCATTTTGCAATACTTTTCACTGATAGTGAAAGAATGCAAAAGGCAGTCTCTGATTTGGCCTATCTTCTTGCTATTACCATGGTTCTCAATAGCATTCAGCCAGTTATTTCAGGTTCTTCTTTCTTTTTTTTTTAAATAAAAATTAATAAATAAAGAAAGGGTTTTTATTTATTTAATAATCTTGAAATTCAAGAAAATAATAATTAATTTGTTGTATTATTTATTGCAGGAGTTGCTGTTGGAGGAGGGTGGCAAGGGCTTGTAGCTTATATTAATCTAACTTGTTATTATATAATTGGTCTTCCAATTGGATTTTTTCTTGGTTACAAAACAGATTTAGGTGTACAGGTATTAATATTTTAATTCTAAATTTACATAATTTTTCAATATATTTTTAGCAAATTTATATATATTTACTCTAATTGTTTTTAAATAAAAAAAAAAATCTCAATAATATTTTTATTAGCAAAAATCCCTTGTGATTCATTTATTTTTATTTTATTTTTAATTCATTTTTGCTACGTTTATTGTTTATTTATTTATTTATTTTTATTGCAGGGAATTTGGATGGGGATGATATTTGGTACTTTTCTGCAAACTGTAATTCTTCTCATCATTGTATGGAAAACAAACTGGAATGAAGAGGTAATTTTAATCCATATTTTATATATTTATATTTGGTATACAAAATTAAAAACTTGGGCACTTGGATTTATTTTTAATTGAATCTTTCCTTTAAATTTATGTAAAAAACTTCATTTTTACGTGGCTTAAATAATGAGTTATCCCGGTCCCGACTCGTTGAAAACGTATTTAAATTAGTAGTTCACTAATTTAATATCTCGTTAAATTAATAGAATTTTACCAGTCTCACTGTATCAATTTATAGAGGTTTAATTGTATTTGAATTACAGGTAGAACAAGCATCGGAAAGAATGCGTAAATGGGGTGGACAAGATTTGGATTCCGACGGGAAGTAACAATCCAAGACGGAATTGTTACGAATACTCGTGCTTCTTTGTGAATATGTTGTAAACGGATTGTGTCAAACCGAATGTATCATTGTTTAAATTTGTTGGAATTTTTATCGAGCTCCAAAGTTACGAGCTATGTTTGATAAACAATTGAATCGAGCTCGAACAGGTTTCTAACTTAGGCGAACATGAATTGAGCTCGAGTAATTTAATTTCTATGTATATTTTAATAAGTTCTATAATGAAACTCGAGCTCAATCGATCTTTAAGCAGAATCGAATACGAATCTAGGATTATATAAGATTAATCAATACAAGACCAAATACACAACAAACCACTAAACAAATACACAATTTAAATTTTATTTAATGTTTTCAAACATCAAATAAAATCTAATTATGTAAATTAATTAAAATTTAATAAATATATTTTACCTTACCCTAGAGTCAACATTATTTGAATTTAGGTAAATTATGAAAAACCCCCCTAAACTTAGATTAAATTACAAAAACCATCTCCGCCTATTCGTAATTACCAAAAAACTCCTGAGGTTTGTTTCCGTCGTATACCAACCCCTTACAACGTGACTTTTTCACGACTTTTTTTTTTTTACACAAATTCAGATTTTTTTTTTATTTCTCACTTATTTAACCGAAGATATAATAGACTGTACACATCTTCTGTTGACAAATTCGATCAACAATTAATCAGATGGGGTTTTTTTGTTCGTACGGGTAGGTGGGGATATTTTCGTCATTTAGCCTAAGTTCAGGTGGGTTTCGTAATTTACCCTTTGAATTTTGACCAATCAAAAAAAGTATTCAATTTTCCACAAATACCCTCATTCCAACTCACCACCAACTCAACACCCCCAAAATTTAATTAACCATGGTTAACTCATAATTCCAACCCTAAATATTCCCTACTCACCTTCTTTACAACCTTTGATAAATTTAAAAAGAAATCAAAAACTACTCAACCCTAAAAACCAAAACCCTCTTCTTTTTTGCCCTCAAACTTTTCATATTCACCCACCCCCACCCCCCATTTGCATAAATAATAAATAAATAAATAAATAAATAAAGAAAATCAAGAAATTGAAGAATACAAAGAGTCATCCCTACCTTTGGCCTACACTCTCTGAAAATTCAATTACTGGTACGTTCTTCTCTCTTTCTTTTTGTTTTTTTGCCAAATAACCCTCAAACAATTTCTGAATTTCATTTTTGGGCGTGTTTTTATTTTTTCACGACAGAAATACTCTTTTTTTTGTTTCTGTACAAAAAAACGATTTAATTGAAATTACAAAACCCCCCAATTTCTCCCCCTTTCTCTCTCACTGTTCTAGAGAGAGAAAATATAGAGAGAGAAAAGAGCGGGACTTCCAAATTGTTTTCTTTCTCTCTCTCTCTCTCTCCAATGGGGTTATCGAGTTTTTCCAAATAGTGTGCCGGCATCAACTTTTTTTCATCCCGCCAAAATTCCGTCGGAAAAAAATTCAAATGCTATATTCTGCGTTAATCGCTTCGCCGAGGTCCGATTAAATCTCGTATTTTGTTCTTCGGAGTTTTTTACACACACTCTCACCGCCGCTGCGTGTTTTTTTTAGTTTTCTCCAAGGGTTTGAAGCTTTTTTTTTTTTTTTTTCTTTCTCTCTTTGTAGTATCAGTGGTGAAATTGAATGTGGTTTGCTTTTAGGGGAAGAATAGATATTGTGAGAAAAAAATGGCAGGATGATTGAAGATGATGATGAAGTCCTTGTTCGATGATTTTTTTTTTTTTGGTTTTTTTTTTGTGTGGGTTTATTGAAAGAATTTTCCTGCATTTGTTGTTTTAGGACACCTGGCGTCTCTGGTGATTGATGAAGGGCAGGAATTTGATTTACTTAATCTGAATATTGTTCGTAGTATTAGAGAGAACGGGCGAAAATACTGGGGGTCGAAGAAACAAATCTTGGTTTAATTGTGATTTTGTGATGGGGTTGGAGTCGGATTTGAAGGAACTTTTATCAGGTATTCCGAAAAAAATCAAGAAAGAGGAAGAGTTTGTTGATCCTAAGAAGATCGATATCGATGAGAAGTTGAACAGTGAAAATAGATTAGGTAATGTGAAGGCTAGTGAAGAACACACTGGCGATGAGGACTCTGTGAGTAGGAAAAGGAAGCGCGAATGTTATGTGGAGATGCTGAATTGGATTCGTGATGTCGCAAAAGATCCTTGCTGCGCTGCTATTGGTTCGTTGCCGGAGAGGCAAAAGTGGAAACATTATGGGAGTGAGCTGCAGTGGAAGCAGATACTATTGGTTCGTGAGGCTATGCTTTCGAACAAGAATGTCGATGCAAAGTCTCAACAATCAGTTTGGCAGGTATATATATATAATACTTCCCTCGCACTTGAATATTGAATATGATACTATATTTGGCTGTAGAATAATTTAAATAAATGCTAAAGAACTTGTTCATTTGTTCCAAATTTAAATATGCACTTCAATTTGGTTCTTTAACAGAGAGTTGTCGTTGTCATAAGCTTTTATTACCAGAGATGCTATAGTATCAAGCTAAGGGGATAGAATTATTTAGTTTCAGCATGTGTAGTCCGAGGAATTGTGGGTCTAATGTGGCATCCTCTCGGATTTTCTTGTTTCTAAGTGTGGTGGGGTTTTCTTCTTTTGATACAACTACAACCTGTTCAAGTAAATCTAACTATTCAAAATAGAATGTTCATCGTTTGTACGACTCCCTTTATATATTATTACAAATCATGTGGAAGACTATGAAATTCAAGATCGTGATGTGTTGGTAGCCACTGATTCTCGAGTGGCAAATTATCATAACATTTCTGTAATTTTAACAGAATGAAAGCGTTCAATAGATTTAGTTTTATAATTGGTCAAGAATGTTGTTCGTTGTTGATCTTTGTATTTGTTTGCAATTGCATCACAATTGTTTAACAATAACAGTGCTTCATTTGCAAGTGTTTAGCCTAAATTAATTTCATTGCTGATATTTCATATTCATTCTGTTAGTTCTGCATGCTAGTTTCTTCTACATTCACTTCATTGTCTTTTCTTACATCTCGAAAACCACATTTTGAAGTGCAAAATTAGCATAAGTTGTACGGAATCATATCCAAGAATCTCTCGATTTTAAAACAGTTTCCAATACCTTGCAGAAGAAGCAAAAGATGCATCCAAGCATATACGAAGACAACGATCAATCCAATTCCGAAAGGCTAAGATACAGTCAGAGGCTAATTTCCGCAAAAGATTCTTCTAGAAGAACACGCGAACGCTTTAATTCTGAATCATCTTCCTCTGGTTTTTTGACCGACGAGGAAAACGATTCGACAGCAGATTCTCCCACATACTTGAGCAACCACCGCAGCAAGAAACCAGTTCGTGTGGGCCCCATTTTTCAAGCAGATTTGCCACAATTATCTGAAATAAACGATTATCAAAGTGACTCCAAATGGCTTGGTACCAAAACATGGCCACTCGATAAGGCAGAACCGAAAAAATCCTTAATCGAAAGAGATCCGATTGGAAAAGGAAAACAAGAATCGTGTGGCTGCCAATTGTCGGGTTCTTTCGAATGTGTGAAGTTCCATATTAATGAGAAAAGGATGAAACTGAAGCTTGAGCTTGGGTCCGCTTTTTACAGGTGGAAATTCAACGAGATGGGTGATGACGTGGCGAGTTCGTGGACAAAAGAAGAGGAAAAAAAATTCAGGGATATAGTTGAGTCGAACAGATTATCTTCGGAGAAGCGCTTTTGGGATGAGCTTTTCAAGTTTTTTAATCGAAAAGGCAGAGAAGCTCTTGTGAGTTACTATTTTAATGTCTTTCTTCTGCGAAGAAGAGGTTTTCAGAATAGGAGCAATACTGCTGAAATTCATAGTGATGACGAGGAATCGGAATTTGGGCCGATTGGTAATAGGTTTGGTCAGAGTGCTGCAAATTCTCCAGGGTCGATTTTTCGTTCGCCGAAGAAATCTCATTGAATAGAAGATAGTTTTATTTTTTCGAGACGGTGTAAATGGGAAAAGAAAAATTATATGTTTCTCTATTTTTCTCGATTTTTGAAGTCTCTAATGGTGATGCATAGGAAGATATATAGAGACAAGGTTAGTGCAATTGACAAGCTGATCAGACCTTTTGTGTTCTCTCTTTTTTTCTTTTGTCTGTCAGCAATTTTAGTTTTACCGATAAACTCAGTATGAAATGAATATCATTGTTTCTTATATTTGGAAATATCGAAAATGGCATCGAGAGTATTTCTGTACTGTCGTTTGGAAGGAATTTTCCGGCTACGGAATTATTGGCAGATTGTTATTGAATGTTTCAATGCATAATGATCTAAGCTAATTTTTGTTGGTTATTCGATTAGTTCATCGCCTCCCTCCCTCTCTTTCTCACACACACACGAACCAGAATTCAGTACATTCTCTCAATTACAAAGGAGTACATTTTCTTGATTTTCATTCAACCACCCTTTTGCTTTTTGTTCAACACATTATAATGATTCACAGCAATTCTTGAAAATTATACAATAATAATTCAAATTCTCCAACGAAAAAAAGTCATAAATGGCTAGGGCGCCTTCTTCCAGCATCGGTTCTCATCCTCTTAACAGGGTTCGCCCATCCAACGGACGCTCCACTGTTGTTCCCTTGCTGAGGAGGAGGCGGAGAAACGGTACCCGCCCACCCGTGCTGCGTGGAGTTTTGTTGACCCGACCCTATATCCTTCGACCCGGAAATAGGAAACGGGCTTTTTATACCACGGCCGAGCCCAGTAGGTGAAAGAGGGCCCGAAGAAGATCCACTTCCACCCTTATTAGCAGCAGATTTCTCCCTATCTTTTCTCTTCTTTTTGCAGATAACAAGATCACCTGGATGAGTGAAAGGGTTATTTGCACCGTCTTTTTGAGGGGCATAGCTTTTGACCTTACTTGCTTCAATGTTGGTATGTATGGGCATCCGGGTTTGTGGCTTCTGGAAAGTTCCGATTTCAGAATCAATTGCTGGTTTTTGGCGCTTGCCCTGATTGACAGGTGTCGGTCTTGAAGACGAACCGGTGGCTGGTGTGGTAGCGGTTGGACCAGCAAAAGACATGGAGTTTCTTGCTTCTCGAAAATCAATGTCTGAGAATGCTACGTTCAAGATATCGAAGAAGAGATCATGGACTTTCCTTGCCTCTGATCTCACCTATTGAATTTGTATTCGTAAAAATTTGTATCAAATTAGTAACAGCTTTTTCAATGCATTTTAAAAATAAATAAAAAATTATCGTACCTCATATGTGAAGCCATAATACTGCAAGCCACATTTCAACATAAGCTGCACATCAGAAACGAGCTCCATAACCCCACTGTACTCGGATTTGTCAACACGGAGATGAATCTTTCTTAAATCCAAAAGGTTATTATCCGCTGCCCCACTGGAGTGTGCAATTCTTTTCCAGAGTTCAGTTAGCTGTGGAATGATTTGATGACCTTCGTTGTCTATTCTTCTCTGGAGCTTACTTATGACAGTTTTACACTGCAACACAATAATATATTAAAAATAAATTCAAAATACAGTTACAATAAGAAATTGAAAGCAGCATGCATACCTTTCTCTGGATGACTTCAGGCATCTTAGTTCCACTACTTTTAAGTCCTTTCATGACTTTACTGTCCATATTTTCTCGAATTTCAGCACCATCGTCTGAAAGAGCTGACCCGTAATTCGATCTCCCAGGTTTAAGAGTACCCTGCACATTAGCTGTATTTTTCCTCGCCGGTAAATTACGCTTGTTTTTCATGGACGAATCATGTTTCTCAGATTTCAACGAACTAGTATCTCCAATAACTTTATGCAGACGATCATCCCTCGCTTGTGACTTCAATTTCTGGTCCACCTGGAAAGGCAACTGAGAAGAAGGTTCACCACGTCGAAGAGATAACGACTTGTCACTGCGCTTTTCTTCCGACCTCTCAGTAGTAGTATGCTGTGGGCGAAGCCGAATACTCCGTTTCCTTTTTATCTTAGGCTGCAACACTTGCTCGTCTTCACCTTCGTCACGATCTTGGTTCCAGCTACCCGATTGCTGTTGGTCAATCGGAGAATCTCCAGAGGCCGCAATTTCTCCTTCCTCTAAATCGTCCGCCTGGCAAATTAGAAAAAAGAAAAAGAAAAAACGTATGTGAGATAAATAAAGTCAAAGAGTTGACCAATACAGAAATCATGACGTACCAATTTCTTCGAACGGGAGTTGGACCTACTATCTAGAGCAGAAAGCGACCCAAACTTCTGAGAAGAAACAGAAGGTGAAACCACCTGCATTAATTTTCGACTGTGTGAAGAGGATCCAGACGACCCTGCTTCTTCGAGTATATTATTGTGTCTGACATTATCCAAATTTCTTTGGTATTCATATCCATCAGCTGATGCAGGAATATCCTCTTCCAGTTGATCTTTATTAATCTGCGGTGGTGGTGCCTCGGTATCTTCATCATCTTCAAACTCCCTGATTTCTCCTTCTTCCTCTTGAACAGAGTATTCGTTCCTATTATCAGAACTAGCTTCAGAAAATTCTCCATTTTCCTCATCCAATTCCGTATAAACAGGAATATTTCGTTTAGGTCGCCCCCTCCTCCTCTCAGTCTCGGAAGCCACTTCAGTTGAATCCGGCACAATATTTCCACCGTAAACAGCATTTCGCGATTGCTTCTTTGACTTTGATAAATTAGCAACAGTAGCATTCACTTCCTTTGTACTAGCACGAATCCAATCAGGAACCTCATCATACCGAGTCATGTCCTCTGCCCAGTCAAATTCTTCATCCATTTGATCGAATATCTCCACTTCTGCCTCACTCCTAGCAATCATTCGGTTCACCTCATGCAGAGAAGGAACATCATGAACTGTTTCTTGGTATCTTTCTTCATCATGCAACAGGGTCTCTAAAGTCAACCGCCTCTCTTCATGCGTAGTCCTCTGGTCAAATCGCCCAGCGTTTATAACCTCATCAGCCATTTCAATCTTATACTGTTGGATATTATTCCGAATCAAGCTCTCGATCGAACCTATATACCGATCCTTGCCAGCAAGGTCGTCGTCTGAGTCTACTATTCCTCCAGTACTGAACTCATCTTCTTTCTGATGACTAGATATTTTGCCAACCACAGCTTCCATATAAATGACTTTCACCTCCCTAGTCTGCCCTATACGGTGGGCTCGAGCAACAGCTTGTTCCTCGTTTTTTGGATTCGGATCAGGATCATATATGATGACTGTGTCAGCAGACTGAAGATTCAGACCCCGTCCAGCTGCACGAATGCTGAGCAAGAAAATAAAACAATCAGTGTCGGGCCGGTTAAATTCCACAATAGCACTTTCACGGTCTTCCAAACTAGTCATCCCGTCAATTCTTCTAAATATAAGCCTTCGCCACTGCAAATATTCTTCCATTATGTCGAGAAGTTTGGTCATGGTACTAAAGAGCAGTACTCTATGCCCAGTCCTCTGGAGCTTAATCAAAATCCTATCAAGAATCCACAATTTTCCGCATGATCTCACAAGGAAGTCCTTTGAAAAATCGCTGAAATATGGGTAGTTGAGCAGTGGATGATTGCAAGCTTTTCTGAGTTCCATACATCTATTGTTTAAAGTTTTATAAATTTTAGCCTGATAATTTGGATTCTTTTGAGCCTTCCGCTCTTCGTCTTCAGGATCAACCCTAAGAGTACCAGTGGATTTAATCCAATCATAAATGGCACCTTGTATTGCAGACATTCTGCATTTCATAACAATTGAAACCTGCATTCGAAAATTAGTTAGGAGGAATCCATCCCACAAGGTACCCATAATTACAGAAAGACATACCTTTGGCGGAAGTGATCCTTCCACATCTTCAACTCGACGTCTGAGCATGAAAGGCTCTAAAATTTGATGAAGCCTGTGGATAATTATCACCTTCTTCTCAGTCTCAAGCCAGTCATCTTCATGTGCGGGGCCTTCTTTTTGAAAAGGTTGAGAGAACCAATCATTAAACGCTTTCTTATTATCAAAGACTTCTGGGAGAAGTAGGTTCAAAAGAGACCAAAGTTCTTTAAGATCATTCTGCATACAAAGAGAAGAGGAGTGATGGATGAATGTCTCAATCAAAAATGTAAGACAAAGGCAAAGAAAAAGGGAAAATGTTACGCATCGTCCTTGCGCATTTACTAATCTATTTTCCCATCTTTGTTTAGTACGTATTTTTTCCTTTTTAGGGACGTAAAATAAACTCTTTCCCCTAAAACGAGTTTTTCAGAATTTCCTTCCACTCAAAGTAACGATTTGACACTACTAATGTTCCACTAGTGCTTCTGTAAACTACTTTTAGGCCAATGTTGCTAAAACAACTCAAAATTTATACTTTTCCAGCTCATCTAGAACTCCAGCCGATTCAAAAGGCAGTCTTCATTGTTGTGACAGATGGAAAATAACAAGAAACTAACTGTAAAAAACATTAAACAAAAATCCGTAGTAGAAACTGATATAAAAATTTCAGTATAGCCCACCAAAGAAAACTCCATAACAAAATCACACCTGCAATGGTGTCCCTGTGAGAAGCAAGCGCCTTTGGCAGCGATATCTATCAAGATCACGAGCTAACACCGACTCTCTGTCCTTCATCCGTTGTGCTTCATCAATTATAATATATTTCCAATCAATTTTTGAAAGTTTTGAGCGGTCATACATAATGAACTCATAAGTTGTCACAAGGACATTAAACTTCATGGCTAGCACTTCCTACACAGAGGATGAAACAAAAAGATATCAATTACAACAGAAGGAAACTGTATAGATAGAATTTACATCAACAAACTCTAATCGTCTTACTTGAGAAAACAATTTCGACCTTTGGTCTTTCGTGCCAACGTAGTATATGCAGGAAACACTTGGAAGCCAAGTATGCAATTCACTCTGGAATACAATGTAAATCACAAATGTTATAGGAGAAGATACTCGTAATAACTTAAATTACCAATACAATGAACCACTACCTTCCAGTTCACCAGAACAGCATTAGGAACAATAATAAGATGTGGTCCGTAATTTCCTTTGAACTCCATTAAATAAGCAATCAAGGCCATGACCTGTATAAGCAAACAAATCATTAGATCTCTGACTTATGCATCTACAGACATCCACAAATACAGGAATGCACGGCTGGTAAAAGGATGAGAAAGGAAATAAACGAGCTCCAACAATATTGCAATAAATCATGTATAAACAAGGATATTTGTTCTTTTAGGCATATACAGCAGCAGGCATCAATACTATTCACAAGGACTCACCTGCACAGTCTTCCCAAGACCCATCTCGTCAGCCAAGATTCCATTCAGTTTATTGTTATATAAAGATAACATCCACTGCAAACCAACCTGCATATTTGGGTAAACGTATGTCAATACCTTAAGGCAATTCAAGTCATCGCCAAATGTAATTGGTCAATAAGGTGCAAACTTAATAACACTGACAAGCTGATAGTCTCGGAGTGTTCCAGCTCGTAATGTTGACGGCTGCCTAATGACCCTTTCATTCACGGCATGTGCAAGATTGTAATACCTGGAGAACTCAAAAAATAAAGTGTAAGGGATATTATAGGAAAAGCTAATTATGTACGGCATAATTATGTTTAAGGTTAAATTCCTGAGTATTGGAGGATATCCAAAATAGACTAAGAAATCATCTAACTACCCAGATGCCACATTTAATAGGGAAACTGAGAGCATCAAAACATTTACAGGTTGCCTGTTAATTGCTCCTAAACGACATCTGAATGCCAGTTGTCAGAAATCACACACAAAGAGGCTTACTTGTTAACTGATGAACTATCTCTTGGTGCATTCATCTCAGAAAACCGATTTCTTATCGACACTTCTTCTCTAGCACAAGTAGCGGCAGCTCTCACTTCTTCCTCAGAGAGACCCTTTGATCCAGAAAAAGAAAGATATGAATGAGAACTCAAACCAAAATATTAGCAAATAACATAAGGAAATTTATATAACATTATTTCTTAATAAGTCAATTATAATATCATAAGTAACGCTTCGAGCTTTGACTTCACTAATCGGTAACTGCACCAGATTGACCAAGGAAAAGGTATTTTTGTACTACTTCCAGGTATATAATACTATCAAAACACAAAAACAGTAATAATGATGATTCACTTTGACTACGCATTTTCTTCACTTCACAAGAAATCCTTGATAACATTAATATTTTCTGTACTTAGTGTGCCATTGTGTGTGTGTATGTGGGGAGAGAAACAAAGAGAGTACCTGTGCACGTGCAGCTGCAGCTGCAGCATTAGCTGCTTCCTCAACCTCCTGCTGATTTTTAGTAGCTGTTATTTTACTTCCCAGTTTCTGAAGATACTCTTCGGTTTGCGTTAAAAACGAAGACAAAACCGCATATCTTTCTGCAGCCTCCCCAGGTACATTGGTTTGTTGCTCCAGCAACATCTCCCTATATCTTTCTACGTCATTGTTTTTCAACGCCTCCATCCTTTTATTACGGCCACCATCATCCTTCCTCTTGGAGAACTCCCTTAACATTCTTTCATGGTACTTGTGAACTCCCCTATTGCGGGCAGTTCGAGCATCACGTATGCCCCAGTGTGCCTCAAGAAGCTTCTTGCGCCACTGAAATATGGATTTCAGTTGCTTCTCCCTAGTTGCCTTCTGGGTGGCCTGCGCTTGCCTGTTAAGCTCCTGGCGTTGACGCTCACACAGTCGAACAAATTTTCGATACGGCCTATCAGGCATAGCCATAATTTCTTGTTGTTGTTGCTCAATCTCATCCCTCAACCGTGCCTGACACTCCACGAGCTGGAGTTTTCTGGATTCAATTTGTAGCCGTGTCACAAGATCTGGTCTAATTCTCTTCCTCTCCAAGTTTACAGCAAGTATTTTATCAATCTTCTCTATTTTCTCTGCCCTTTTCCTTTTACGGACTTCTCCGCCTTCATCAGCAAAAAGATCTTTAATATTGTATGACAAAGTCAAATTACTAGGGTTGTTCATCATAGAAGATCCAAGAGTCTCATGTTTCCTGGTGAAGACAGGGAAATCGAATAAAGGCCCATGATACTTTCTAGTCGAACCAGCATCCCTAGGTTGGGTTGTATTACTCGCTTGAATCGGTTTCTTTACTTGCATTGAATCTGAAATGCTCGACTGTGTAGCAATTCCTTTACCCCTATCTGCAGCAACATCGCTCCTGATAGGAGCTTTCTGATTGTCTGGTTCAGATTCCTGGTCAGACTTACCAGATTTGCCTATGCATTGCTGCTCTTCTTTCCCTGGAGGAACCACAAAAACTGGCTCTTTAGCTGCAGTTGTGGAACTTTGCGCGGTAACTGTTAAGGCAGCTGGCTTATCATCTCCTGAGCCTTCCTCCTTTAAATTACTTACTCTGTTCACTGATTTTACAGCACCAGGTCCCTTCTCACTTGACTCCATATGTTTTGTACGCTCATCTACATTATCTCCAGCTGATCCATCCTTGCCAGCACTTACAGTAGGTGGAAGTATCTGTTGGGTCTGTAAATCAAGTGGTGGAGGAACAATAGCCTGGAGTAATTCACGAGGCAGAGTCCCGTCTCCTTTCTGCATGAAAAAACAAAGAAGAGACAGAACATGATGTAAAAAATATCAGAAGATCAATCAAAATGAGAAGAAATACAATAACGAATATTGGAACCAACTTGGTGCCAAATTTACAAATGTTTAGGCAAAATGCCCTTACCTTCAGGCGCCTAAATGCAAGTATCTGTGCTTTAAGTACATGTAGCTGCTGCTTGCTAAAACCAGCATGAGATTGTCGCGGCTGGGGAATCTGTCCACCCTGAGATGTTGACGGATTACCAATATCCCTGTCATTAGATGGAGTTGAAGATTGTGAAGGAGAACGATTAAGTTGTCTGGTGTTTTGCGTCTGAGAAACTTCTGGGACAGTGACTGAAGGTTTTGCAAGTAAAGTATCAACTCCTTGGTTTAAATTCCCAGATGACTGCGAAGGATGCATAGGTGGCATTCCATGGCCAAATAAGGTAGGTTGTCTAGGGGGCAGCTGGTTATCTCTACCATGCATGGAGAACTGTTGCATAGGCATGTTGCTTGGGTTGTTGCTAATTACGGCTGCACCTGAAGTTACACCAAGCGTACTAGGCGAAACTGCCTGCCTAGCCTTAGAAGAACCAGATTGCCCCGAGACATCACTTGAGGAGTTACCATGTGGAGAACTTTCATTTCCAACTTGTGGCGAGGTAACATGCTGTGTGGAAATTCCCACAGACTGTTTACCAGAACTATTTTCATTTGTCTTTTGCTGAGCAACCATCCTGGACTGCATGAGGGAATTAATCTGTGCTATCATATGTGCATTTGCAGGATGTGACAAGTCAATATTACGCTCAAGTGCCAAAGCCTGCATTGCCTGCATCTGTGCAGCCACAGAAATTGGGCTGTTAGTCATGCTCGCGATATTTTGCTGCGATTGTGGGCCCAGGATTGCTCCAGATGGTACAGCTTGACCAAGTATTGTGGGATGATTCAGTTTAGGGTCAGTTCTGTGTTCGAGCACAGGACGCTTCTCACTCTGAACAGCCTGATCGGACGATTTCTTGGAGGAGGATGACTGAGACTGATTCGCTGCTTGAGCGGAAATCATCTCTTGCATCTTCAGATTTGCCAACCGCATTTCTTGATCTTTTCCAAGAGCTCCAAACATTCCTGGTTTCATCATCTGCTGCTGCTGAGATTGCATCCCCATCGTTGATTTGTTGTGTTGGGCAGCCTGGAATGCATATTGCAGGTAAGCTTGCTGCATAGGATTCAATGCTTGTTGGTCACCTTGACTCCTATTGTGATTTTGCTGCTCTGGAATGCTGGGAGAACCTTGTTGTTGGCCCAAATCGATGAACTGCCTCGGCTGTTGAGGTAGCTGCATGGAGCCAGATGCTGCAAAATTGGTTCCTCCAAGGACTCCATGAACATTGCCAGCCTGGTAGGCCAAAAGGGCGTCATTCCCTTCGGGTCTCCTCAGAAATTGTTGTTGAAATGACTACAAATGACATTCAGAAATGAGTTCAAGTGCAGCTAGATTCAATTACCAATTCTAAATACCATTAGTTTCAAGAGGACTCCCAGAACATATTATCGCAAAGAAGCAAACTGAACAAATGTGGAATAGTAGTTGAGTCGAGAACTAAAGAAACTATAAACGATTGATTAAGTTTCCGAAAAAGCACAACTAAGTAAAGAGCAGACGAAACTTTTACCCAGTCAAAAACTGCACATAAAAAAATATGCAACAAATACTAAATGAATGAACTATTCTAACATAGTGAAGAATGTATCTCTAGAAAATCTTGGCAAGTCAAAGGAAAAAAGCCACAAGCACTAAAGAACTCCAGAGTTCACCAAATCCGTCGAAACATGAAATCAAAAGTTAATAAACAAGTCTATCAACCCTCTGCAAAAACATGAATTCCCTAGCTGACCGTACAATGCAAAGCAGACAAGCTCGAAATTCCTGTAGCACATTTATCAATGCAACAAAGGAAAACCACAGATATAAAGACAAAAAAGAACCCAACCTGTCTTTGTTGCTGTTGCTGTTGCTGTTGTTGTTGCTGTTGCTGCAGCTGCTGTCTTTGCTGCTGCTGCTGTCGTTGCTGCTGCTGCTGCTGTTGTTGCTGCTGTTCGAAAGCGGACACTGCAGAGGAAGAGGAGGACGGTGAGGCAGAAGCAGATGCCGCCGTACTCCGGCCATGTCCACCGCCTCCTCCTCCTCCACCTTGTTGGGGCCCACCCCCGGACTGCATGCAAGAAATTGAAACAGAACACCCAGAAAAAAATCACCAACCACGCCTTTTTAGCAAACACTCATACACCCCTCAGAAGAATCAAATTAGACAGAATCCCGTTCAAACTCTCCCAACAGTTGAAAACTGGTTAATCAATCAAATGCCGTCCTTCCAAAGCAGCAGATCACGTGCCCAAAAAAAAAATTCAATCTTGAAAAACCAACACCATCACGATCGAAGCCAGTAAACAAATTACAACGCCGTCGTTTCAATTCAACCTTGAAAAACCCTCAACAGGTCCACCTAGTTCGAAATTTCAGAAAAAAACACCATAGATCTTCCCCCCCAGAAAAAAAAAAAGCAAAACCCGGAAAATCACAAAATTAATAAAATCCCCGTCGAAACCCTTCCGACAATTGAAGCTGGTGGCAGAGTCAAAACACCACAGTCACCAATATTCCGATCCCGAAATTCAAAATCAATTCCCCCGACACATGTCCCACGTTTTGGGCATACATATATACCTCTGCAAAAACAAAAAAATCACATCAAATCCATTTGCTGAAAGAAGCGAGAAAATTGGGATTTTTTTTGGCGCGAAATAAGATAGCCCCCAAATCGATCTGATGGCCGGCTAGCTTCCGAACTTGCCGGAATTTTTTTTTCAATTTCACACTCAAATTCCCTCTCACTCAGTAGTGCGTGCCTCTGTGTGTGTGAGAGAAGAAATTCCTCACGCAATTTCTATTTTATTTTTCGGATGGGGGGCCAGAAAAGCCCTAAGGGCAACCTATATAAAGGGGGCGTGAAAAAATATTGCTAATAGATAGGGGTATTTTGGTCATTTCACAAGTCGGGACTAACCATGGTTAAATCGGCTTTGATTTGATGTAGTTAAGTCATTGACTCGTTGCGGATTTGTGGGACACGTGACTGTAACCTAACCGAATTGCCCCTCGAAGATCTGATATTTACAATGTGGTCCGAATTCTTTCTTTTCGTATGATTTTTTCAGGATATTTTGCAAGTAATTAATTGCATATCCCTTGATTTAATTGTTTTTAATTGGTTATAAAGTTTTATGAGTTGCACTTTGTAGGATTTTGGCAATAAATTTGTTGGTAGAAACGACACCGTTACACACGTTACTATTACTCAATAGTTAATATTAAAAAAAATTAATGTTTGTGGTTTAAAATGGAATAATTTCCTCTAAAATCATGTCTTATTTCTCAATTGATTCCAAATATGAATAGAAAGAAAATGTACTCTAATTAATAAAAAATTATTGTGATTAATGATAAGTAGAATTCTAAACGAGATTAGACTACAGAATCTAATGGGCTTGTATCATTAAATTAATTATTTGTAGATGGGTTGTGTTTTGAACGTTCTTTAGTGACCCAATATAGAGAATAATTGGTGGGCCTATTGGAGCGGCCCAAATAAGTATATCGATAATTAAAATATTCCAAATTATATAAAATAATTTCTACAATTTTATATAATTTATATATAAAAAAAAAGATATTTTATATAATTCAAAAAAGAAAGTAGGAAAATGAAAAAATATTGGAAAAATAATTCCGACTTGCCGGATTCGAACCAGCGACCTAAGGATTACAGTACCAACTACAGTCCTCCGCTCTACCAACTGAGCTAAAGTCGGATTTGATTATTGCTTGATTATATATTTAGATATTTACAACCTACTATAACCTCCTTTGAAGCTTTTATGAATAATAAAAGAAAAATATATTGTTAAATAGGGATAAATCGAATGCATATTAGAGGGAAAATAACAATTGTGTGACAAGACAAAGACACACAAAGAACTAAGTCATAAAAACATATTTAAAAAAAACAGTGGATTTTGTAGTGAGAAAATTCAATATATACAAAAAAAAAAAAATCATAAAATGTATATTTAGTTACTCATAGTATAGATTATAACTAAAATTCTGAAATTAATAAATAAAAGTCATCACTCAAATACAATAAATAAAAATTAGATAAATATGCAACAACACAATCATAAAATCAATAATGGAATTGATTCATTAAATCATTTAACTATTACATACTTCACAAGCTTTTTTAATTTATTTTTATATAAAATATGTTACAAATCCTTAATCAACTGAAACAGGCTGCATATTCTCAGCTTCTTTCCTCAGCTCCTCGAACAAAATCGACGACAAGTATCGCTCTCCGAAACTCGGATGAATAGTCTGAAAACAGATTATAATTAAGTTTAATTAATCACATTTAATACAAGATTAACTTAATTATGCCATAATTAACTTGTCCAATTCTTACCACAATGAGTTTGCCCTTGTTTTCAGGCCTTCTTGCAAGCCTAAGTGCCGCAACTGTATTAGCCCCCGACGAAATCCCAACCTGCACACGAATAATTATATCGATTTTTTTAATTTTTTTTTGAACTTTTTATTGCCATTTTTTGCCTAATATAAAATCTATATGTACCATTAGGCCTTCTTTTAGTGCCAATTGTCTGGCCATAGTGACAGCATCTTCACTCGAAACCTGCGCAGAAAAATTCTCGTTAAACTTTCGATATTCGTTTTTTCTAATGTATTTCATTAGGACAAGCGTACGATGATTAATTACCATAAGAACTTCTTCCATTACATCCATATCGAGGATATCGGGTTTGAATCCAACTCCGTTGCCAGTAATGTGATGAGGGCCTATATTCAATTAAAAAAAAAACAAATTTTTTTTCGTTCGTTCGATTAAATATCGATAATCATGTACCGACGTAAAATACCTGGTTTACCGCCATTCAGAATATTGCTTTCTTCCGGCTCAAGCCCGTAAATCTACATAAGAAAGGCCAAAACAATTATTAAGATAATTCAAATTAATTCAAACGAATATTATTACGTAAATAAAAGAAAATTAAAAATACTACCTTGACTTGTGGATTTTTCGATTTAAGGTATTGTCCGACTCCGGAGACAGTGCCACCGCTTCCGATCCCCATAATAAAAATGTCGACTTTTCCGTTAGTGTCTTCCCATATTTCAGGACCCGTTGTCTCAAAATGTACCTGTCGTTCATGTTCGTTAGTCTATTAATATATGCCGATTAATCTGCAATAAACTAAGGCCTCGTTTGGTTGTAGCTCAATGCATGTAGTTCTTCAAACAAGCCAAGATAAGAACTTGATAAGATCAAGATTTTCCGGACAAAGAACAAAACCTTGATTATTTAATCAATCATGGCATATCTACACAACCAAACAACGCACAATAGCAAAATAAATAAAATTAATTTATACTGATTTTTTAAAGCGATAGCGACTAAGGCCTTGTTTGGCTGTGCCAATATCAGATCAACCAATAAGCCAAGATAAGAACTTGACAAGATCAAGATTTTCATAAGGCCTTGATTATTTAATCAATCATGGCATATCCACCTAACCAAACAAGGCGTGATACTAAAAATAAATAATTTAATTTTAAAAATACCCATTTTTAAAAGCGATAAACGACTAAGGCCTTGTTTGGTTGTGCCAATACCAGATCAACCAATAAGCCAAGATAAGAACTTGACAAGATCAAGATTTTCGTAAACCCTTGATTATTTAATCAATCATCGCATATCTACCTAACCAAAAAACGCGTGATAGTAAAGAAAAAAGACTATTTTTTTAAGCGATGAAAAATACAAAAGTTATGTTTAGATACCTGAGTATTTACAGGATTCGAAAACTGTTGAAGCATGAAAGAATCGGGGGTAGCTTCTAGAAGCTGATAAGCTTTCTTGACGGTGCCTCCCATTCCTTTAGTAGGATCGGTGAGGATTAAATCAGCTCCGAAAGCTCTCATAGTAACCCTTCTTTCTAAGCTCGTGTACGAAGGCATTGTTAGTACCATTTTGTAGCCTTTCATTGCCGCCATAAACGCCATGCTTATTCCCATATTTCCTGATGTGGGCTCGATCAACGTTGTCTGAAAAATCGAATATTCATCAATTAAATCCAATAATTAAAAAAAGAAAAAAAAAGAAAAAAAGAAAAAAAGGATCTTGCCTTTCCGGGAGTGATGAGGCCCTTTTCTTCGGCATCAGTGATCATGGCAAACGCCGGTCTGGTGGCGAGACAAAAAGCATGTAATTTTATTACAAAGTTGTCAGAGATTTACGAAACTAATGTAAAACAAATGTCTCGAAAAAATTAGCATCGTAAAGAAATAAAAAATACATATACCTGTCTTTGATGCTGGCAGTGGGCTGCATCATTTCTTGTTTAACGGCAACATAAGCGCCGCAGCCCTCGGTAACTTTGTTAAGATAAACGAGGGGCGTTCGACCAATAAGCTGCACCGATATATAATGAACATTGTGTTAAAATAAACCCTTGAGCTCAAATTTTCTTAAACTTTAGGCCACTCCATCATATTTTAAACATATACCATAGAGTTGCATAATCGAAAACTCGAGTGCAACTAGGTTTTTCTAAGCATGTCATGATAATTTCGATTCGAAAATGTCATCAAATAAAATCAAATTTAACCAAATCAAATTCAAATAAAGAAATTCAGAAACAATATAAAAAAATTAATCTTGAAACTCAGAAATAACATAGTCAATCAAGATTAAGGTTGCAACTTGCAAGAACTCACAAAAGCTGGACCATACTAAAACAACACACACACACACGTGTGTGTGTGTGTGTGACAATTTACAGGCTAGAAATGGGATTTGCAAGAACTCCAAAGGGCTGGACCAGATGACTGAAACAAGAAACGAGAACACACACACACACGTGTGTGTGTGTGTGTGTGTGTGTGTGTGTGTGTGTGTGTGTGTGTGTGTGTGTGTGTGTGTGAGAGAGAGAGAGAGAGGGAGGATGAATTGAACTACCTGAGAAACTTCTTTCTTGATTTTGGTACCGGGGAGATCTTTAGGGAGATCTCTTAGCCTCTGAGCAAAGGAAGGGGAATCAACCAAAGGGATTGTACCAGCAGTAGTAGAAGAGAAGAAATTACATTTGTAAACAGATGATAATTTGCAGCTTCTCTTCATTAGAGCTGCCATTGAAGTAATTGGGGTGAAGCTCTTTTGCAGCAGCGGAAACTCTCTGCTTCAATTTTCAAGAATGAAAGATAGCTCGCCATTTTTTATAATGCGGAAAAAAGGAAAATCCAAAAAAAAAAAAAAAAAGAGCAGATGAAAATCTGTGTGTGGTAATGGTTTGGTTTGGCTAACAATTGCCATGTGGGCTGCGGGGCAGCACTTTTGTTAGTTTATTTATTTTTTTCTGCTTTTGTAAATTTTTTTTATGGATTATTGAAAACTTGTTTCCTTTTACCGATGATTGGTGGTGGTGGTGGTGGGGCAATGCACCGGCTGCGGCGGCGGCGGCAGATTGTTGTCTAGACAAACTAGGAATTCTAGTTGATTCAATAGAATTGGGTAAAAGTGTTTGGTTTTAGTGGTGTTTTATTTTTTTTATTAGTTATTTACAACCACCCCTGAGGTACCGTCAAATTACAAAAAAACCCCTCATGTTTGGATAATTACATCTACCCTCAACTATGAATCTTCTTACATCTCGATCCGTGTAGTGTCAAATCAATATAATCATCTAGATTTCATGGAATGTTCTCTAGTTTTTACTCGTTTGATGAAAAAATACAGTTTCTGATGCACTGCATATATACAAGCCAAAAAACACATCTTATGATCATCTAGCTTCAAAATATGGAGCTTGAATGGGATCAAATGGGTCCAAAATTGAGAGTATTCCATATAATCCAGAAGATTCCACTAAATTTCAAAACAAAAGGGTGGACGTGTAAGAAGATTTATAATTGATGGGGTTTGTAATGACCCAAGCAGGATGGCATTTTTCGTAATTTGACCACACCTTAGGGGGTTGGTTGTAATTTACCCTTTTTTTATTGGTTATATTGGTGTTTTGTTCGGTTTCGGTTTCGGTTTCAAGTTTAGTGTAATCTTCTAAATTATGAAATCTTCTCCACTTCGTACTTGTTTTATGTCATTCGAGCTCCACATTTTGAAACAAGATGATCATAAGATGTGTGTTTTGACTTGTATATATCAGATTATGGTGCATCATAAACTGCATTTTTGCACAAAACGCTTACAAACTATAGAACATTCCACGAAATCTATAATATAATATTGAATTTGACGTCATAAAGATGGACGTGTAAGAAGATTCAAAATTGACCGGTAATTATAATTGCTCAAACATGAAGAGTTTTTTTGTAATTTGACATTACCTTAGAGCATGGCCATAATTCACCCTTTTTTTTATTGGTTCCAGTGGTGTCCTATAAGAGATTGAAAATGAAAATAATATTCGATTGCCAAAATTTAACACTTTTTCAGAATCGTTACTAAAATCAAAACTCGTTAAATGATATTATTTTACTAAATGTACTAAACAATAAATTACTATTTCATCCTTCAAATTAAAAGTTAATTTTATTAAATAATTCTTTTTATAGACAAATCACATATAATACATTAATCTAATCGGTTTAATACATGATCGAATTCAATGAACCAAACGTTTCATTAATTAAATAATTAATTAGTATAAGTGGACGCCCAATTTGATGCAGCCATATATATAATTATATATATATTCAAGATAAGTCCATTGGCCCAATTATAAAAAATAAATTTATGTAATCCCCAATTTAATTTAATTTAATTAATTATTAAATTTCAGAACACGCCCTTTTGGCATTTGGCTCCGGCGCATGTTAGAATTCCGTGCGCACCTCTCATGGCTGCAGCAAACCTTACATCTAACGTTTCCCACCCAAAACCCCAATCACACGGCTGAGATGATCCGCATTCACCACCACCTTCTCCTTCTGCTCCTCCTAATTGCCGCCGGAAATTGCAGAATTTACAGATTTGCCGATGCGTTGCAGCGGAGGGTTCACATTCCGGACGAATTAGACGACGTCGTTGACGACGAGGAAGACGATGAGTGGAGAGAATGGGGCAAACCGAAGAAGCAACCCGAATTCGACCCGCCGCCCACGGATTTTACCAAATTCAGCCTCGAGGAAATGCAGGATGAAATGATGAAGCGACAACAGGGACCCGTTTTTGGCTTCGTTAAGCTCCGACCCGGCACTCCCCGCTCTCCGGTAACTGATTTCCGGAATGAGTTTAGATTTGAATTTTTTTTTTTTTTTTTTTTATTATTTAGGAAATTTGTGAGGAATTGAGCTTATAATAATATTGTTTAGCGATGGAAATTTCTTCATGTGAAATAATGTTTAAGGAAAATGGGATGAATTAATTTAGAGGCACTAAACTGAAAAATGAAATTAAATGGTATTGGCAATTTAGGTGCTAAGTTTCGATTTTTTACTGGTATGAATTTCCATAAGGTTCCTGTTTCTGGTGACGAATATTGATTCGAACGAACGAACTTTTCGTTATAGTCCGAGTATAATTTAAACCCGGGTTTATATTCAACTTAGTTTCGATCGTATGCTAGAACAGTGTCTCCGAGCTCACTTATGCCGTTAACGAATTTAATTTAGTGTGGCAAAATGTTCACTCAGGCCAAAATTAGCTTTATGTGAATGCAAGTTTAGCCTGGATGAGGTTTTGCCAGAGAAATAGTCTGAGATAGAAACAATCGAATCGATGATTTGTCCCGTTTGATTCTCTTGTCTTTATTATCGCAATTTTTAACATGTTTGATTCAATACGCATCATATTATTACGGTCAATTTCGTTCTCTTGTCATAATTATCGAGTTTCTTACCTGTTGGAATTCACCACATAAAGAACTGTGTTAATGTTTTTTCGTAAAAACGATAATGAAAAGCTTCGTTGATAAATTGTTACAGGAGATAGTATCAGAAATTGCAATGAAATGGACCAAGGCTGCAAGAACAGGAGCAACCGAGGTCAAGTTCACAGGTGTCGATGTGAGTACACTCATGTTCACCGTGCAAAAAGGTCGAGACACATTAGAGGTTCGTTTCGTTTATTTCACCTTTTGGCTAAAAAAAAAAGATCTTTATAAATATTTAACAAACAAAAGAACTAGGGAATTTGTCGAAAAGGATAAATATGCTTCTCTTATTGTGTAGGTAAATTATTTCCTTAGGGTTTGGTACTTCATGCTTGATATGTTGTAGCCAATTCTGATCATGTGTTGAACACTTTATTATTATTTTTTCGTATATATTATGAGTTCTCGTTCGACTTGTTGACTTTGCAATTTAACAGTTGAAAGAATACTTATTGAGTCAATCGGAAGCTTACGAGGTTAAGATAGGCGATCAACTATACAGAAGAGAAGGAGATCCTTCGTTTGAAGAAGTTTTCGATAAGCTCCAGTCTGAAAAGAGGAAAGATTACGATGGAAACTCTGAAAGGCACCATGAGCTTTAACTACTACACATGAAAATACAAGAAAACAAGAAAACAGCATTGTTCTTCCGCTGGTGCTAGCACGTTCGAATTGGAATACACTTTATTACAATTTTCTATAGACGATCCAATACTTTTATTACACTTACGAAACAAGAAGAAAAAGAATAGTGGATGGTTACACTTGTTACTATTTTCTTATGCTTGATCTATCTTTACTCTCATGTATAATCTTTGATTTATCAAGTTTAATAAATGTTTCTCGAATATCGAAATAGTGGGCTGACGTGGCGATCATTTAAGCTTTTTGCTGAAATCCGACAACTGAAGAATGCGAATCCTGGAAATTGTTGCAGCCTCATCTCTCTCATTTAGTGTGTTATAACCCCAATCCCCTGTTTTTCATTGTTACTTTGTCTTAATAATCCAAATACCATAACATGACAAATATATATAAGTAATATTTTGTGTTTCACTTACCTAAATATAGGTTCCACTTGCTCAATTCTGGCTCTTTAATCACATTCTTTAGAGTCGCAAGTCGATCTTCAACGAAGCTTTTCTCAACATACAACATTTAAATATGCATTATTAGAAATTGTGTATCGAGTAAATACCGAATACTACACAATATTTAATTATTTATTTAATCAATCATCGAAAAGGATCATACTGAAGGGTTAGACCTTCGTGTTCTGGCATGTCCTGGAGCTGCTTCAGCACTTTCACTTTAGGACTGGCAAATTTTCCCCACACAACAAGCTCAATTTTATTTCTTTCTTTTTTTAAATAAAGACTAAAAGTTCAAAGTTAAATATTATTCCTATTTTATCTGAGAATATACTCACCCAGTTCCAAGACCATATATTCTTTCGGGCGGAATAACGACTCCAGCAATCTCTCGAAGTAAAGCCTCCGCAAAACGGCCCTGTCAAGAATATATAATACAGGGTCAATATATTATTCTTAACTACTTGTATAATAAGATCACAAAATCTCGAGATTCTTTATTCTTGTACAACGTTCTATTACATAAATCTGCCGGGTCTTTTTTTCTGTGTGTAAAACGGACCTGTTTTGTCGTGACAATGTAGAGCTTTGAGCTAGCAAACTTCAGGGCATCCGCAACACCAGGATAAAATCTGCACCGTTATTAAATAAACCCGTAAAGATGAACATTTTAATAATTTGAAAAACCATCTCTAGCAAATGTAAAGCTACAGACTCAATAAAGGAAGAGTATTTCAAAAAGACGTTAATATTACCTGTTTGCCCCTATCCAGGTGGCCAAATCATTGTCAATCCATTCATCTCTGACCTTTCCGAAAAGATCAATTAGGACATCTCTATCCTCGTCCCATTCGGCCATTATTACAGGTTTTATTGTCGACCAGTTCTCCAATATTTCCTCTACTGTGAGTCCCTCTGCAATCTTGAATGCAGAGCATGAATACAAAAGGGTATTATAGGTATTAAATTTTCGATATATTCTGAGTATTTTTGGTTTAGATACCCACCGAAGATTTCCGAATAGAAGGCATTTGGATCTCCAGAAGCAACCTCACAAGTAGTAAATTTTCATATCCAGTTTCTACTACTGGTCGAACCTGAAACGAGTTAAACAGATTCATTAATCAGAGTATCTCTCGTAATTGGCATTGTTCTAAATTTAAAGGGGAAGACGAGAAATCATTGAAATTAAGCAATTAACAGTTACGAAATCGAATCCAAACAAGTGAATCTCGATATGCAGCAAATGCAATACTCAATAGTTCTAGCTCGCTATTCTTTTTCATCAATTCCTATAATAAATACATTGTTGTAACAAACAGCTAAGTAATATTATTCTTAGTTTTTTCCATATATTTATTATTTAATAATCTAAACAATGTCACAATTTCTATATCTTGTGCCGCAGCAGCAATGCTTCCCATAATCAAACAAAAACAACAAACGTAAATCCTGTAACATTTTGAGCTATTCAGAACTAAGAAATAATCATTTCTGAAAGTAAAAATAAAAATCGATGCAATAATTCTTTTTTTTTCTTTGGTAACGAAGGAACCCGCAAAACGAGAGACGCAAACCACACTAGGCTAACCATGCATGACAAGCTCAACCTAGGTACCGATTTGATGCAATAAGATTAAACCGAATATAAAGAAAAATAGGAAGAAACATTACAATGTGCATCTGATCAACAATCCAATCCTCCAGCGACGATTCGACGCCATCGAATAGACTTGGCCATCTTACTTTAGCAGCCTATATCATCAGTCCATTATAAAAACCAATTTAATCAAAAATTAAAATAAAAACCCTAAATCCAACACAGTCACATGAATATATGTCTAATCCAACAAAATCCCTAAATTTCACTAACTACAACCCCAAAAAAAAGGGGGGAGGAAGAACAATTGAATACAAGTCAATGCGAGTCAAAATCAATTTTCTGATGCATTTCTACAAATTTGAAAGAAAAAAATTAAAAAAAAAAAAAAAAAAAAAAAAAAAAAAAAAAAAAAACCTTGACAGCGGAAAGAGAGCTCTCGCCGCAGCTGTCGCAAAGGACTCCATCAAAATCCAGAGCATAGAGATCCGCCATCACTGTTCTGTGCTGAGTGCTGACTCTTCCTGTTTTTCCTTTTTTTTTTCTTTTTTTTTTTTTTTTTTGTTTTTTGGGATTTAATAATTACTATCTAGAAGAACAAATTGCAGATAACCTCTTCTGTTTATTTCCCGCCACGTGGCCACACATTTTATTGTGGGCCACACATAAATTTGGGCCTTTAGTTGGGCTGATTTCAAATTTGTTCGTGTATTTTTTTTTTGGAATAATCAGAAATCAGAATTTAAAAACTAATTTCGAAATTAGAAAAAAATTGTATCGAAATCGACGGAATTTGAAATTTTTATTGTTTATTCACATATAAATTAAATTTTGAATTATTCGACTTTTTTTTACAAAAAATAAATTTTGGATCATAAATCAAGATCCTATGTATTTCGAATTAACTTGCCAAACGGTTCCTATGTCGAGTTTGTTAGACATTGTCGGTCTAGTTTGATTTACGTCTTTCGTATGATTTGCAAGCTATTATACGACAGTGTAGGTTTATCAAATGCACTTATATGGTTGGTTGTCGGTTCTTTCATTACTAAAAATAAATAAATAAAATGTATAAGTAATCGGAACATTACGCATGTCGGACTTCAAACTACGCTGCAAAAATGAAAAAATCGACCTTAATTAACAAATAATAATATATCAAATTTAATAGATGATTCAAGACCTTTACAACACATACACAAACAATGAAAACAGTATTGTGATAATAATGCTCGATATCTCAAGTTTATTAAATGAATGATGTAACTAATGCTGCTCGAGTATCGAAACAGTACGCTGATGTGGCGATCATTTGAGCTTTTCGCTGAAGTCCGATAACTGAAGAAGGCGAATCCTGGAAATTCTTGCGGCCTCCTCTCTCTCTTTTGGTGTGTTATATCCCCAATCCCCTGTTTTTTTCCATTGTTACATTGTTTTAATAATCTATATAATAATAATAATAATAAAAATTATATATAAGCAATATTTCGTGTTTTGCTTTACCTAAATACAGGTTCCACTTGCTCAATTCCGGCTCGTTAATCACATTCTTTAGAGTCGCAAGTCGATCTTCAACGAAGCTTTTTTCAACGTACACCATTTAAATATGCATTTTTTAGAATTTGTGTTTCGAGTAAATATCGAATACTGCACAGTATTTAATTATTTAATCAATCGTCGAAAGGGATCTTACTGAAGGGTTAAACCCTGGTGTTCTGGCATGTCCTGAAGCTGCTTCAGCACTTTTACTTTAGGACTGCCAAAAATTTCGACAGAAAACAAACTTGTTTTTTAATTTTTTTTTAGTTTTAATTTTTTTTCAAATTTTGAATATTACATACTCACCCAGTTCCAAGGCCATAGATTCTTTCAGGCGGAAAATCGATTCCACCGAGCTCTCGAAGTAAAGCTTCAACAAAACGGCCCTGTCAAGAATATATAATACACATGGCAATATATTATTCTCGTACCACTTGTGTAATAAGATCATGAGACATTCGATTTTGTCTGAATTATTTTTTAAGCTTATATACAGTTTTGTTTTTTCAACGGACCTGTTTAGTTGTGACGATGTAGAGCTTCGAGCTGGCAAACTTCAGGGCATCCGCAACACCGGGATAAAATCTGCAGGTTATAAAAACATAAATATCAACATTCACAAGGACTCAATTGCAAATTTGCAATGTGGATTAAATCCAAGCCATCTCAAATCAACAATTTTTTTTATGCATTTGAATAATGTTATAAACCTATAAACTCAACAGAGAAGAGTATTTCAAATTACAACATAATTACCTATTTGCCCCTATCCAAGTAGCCAAATCATTGTCCAACCATTCGTCTCTGACCTTTCCAAAAAGGTCGATTAGGGCATCTCTATTTTCATCCCATTCGGACATTATTACAGGTTTTATTGTCAACCAGTTCTCCAGTACTTCCTCTACCGTGAGTCCCTCAGCAACCTTGTACTTTCAAACCATTTAATATATAAGGGTATTATAGGTATTCGGAATATTTTCGGTTTTTAAATACTCACTGAAGACTTCCGAATAGAAGGAATTTTGGTCTCCAATAGCAATCTCACAAGTAGTAAAATTTCGTATCCGGTTTCTACTACCGGTCGAACCTGAAAACCACTTTAACAGATTTATCAATCAGAGTATCTCGCGTAAATAATAGTATGCTAATTTAAAGAATTGCCGTAAAAATGCAACACTCGAGATAATCATGCAAGATAACAACAAGGGCTTCATCAATTCATATAAATACGTTGCTGTAAGAAACAAATTAATTACTTAATATTATCCTTCGTTTTTTTTTTCCCCTTCGTATTTTTGATAATCCGACAATGTCACGATTTCTATCAACAATGCCTCTGATAATCAAACAGTAACTACGAAAGAATTATTTCTGAAAATAAAATGATATAAATCAATGCAATTGCAATCAGTTAAAACAAAAAAAATAGGAAGACTTATTACAATGTGCATCTGATCGACAATCCAATCCTCCAGCGACGAATCCACGTCATCGAACAAACTTGGCCATCTTACTTTAGCAGCCTATATCAGTTCATAAACAAACCAAATTAATTAGAGGAAGCAAAAAAGAAAAATCAATAATCCACAGACATAATGAATATGAGTTTCTCAGTGAGTCATTTCAACAAACAGATTGTAAGCATTTTTCATTTCATGAAATTATAACAAAATATACAACAAAAAAAAATATAGAACCTTGACAGCAGAAAGAGAGCTCTCTCCGCAACTATCGCACACTACTCCATCAAAATCGAGAGCATAGAGATCACCCATCACTGTGTGCTGACACTGCGTTTTTTTGAGGGATTAATTATTATTAAATAATATCAAAGAAAAGGAAAAAGACAAATTGCAGATAAGCTTCTGTTTATTACCCGCCACAATAAATTTGGGATTACTTGAGGTTTTTTTTTTTTTTTTTTTTTTTTTTAATTGGATTGTTTATCCACTTATGTAAAGTTTGACTCTCCTGTAATTTTTTAGCAGCCCAATAATTTAACATTTAATTCCAATTTTGTTATTATAAAATAAATCGTAAATCAAAATTTCGGAACTTGAAATGAAAAAACTTTTTAAAATTGTAAATTTTCAAATTGATGTCGACATAATTAGTAAGATCCAATTAGCACGGACACGGGAACGTGGACACGACGAAACGAGAAAACTGATACGAGAATGTGGGGAAACATGCATATATTAAAAATATAGGGGTACATTAATAATTTTTAAGAACCTATTATAACGTTTAATTTGTATGTTTGTCATCAATTACATATTCGCATCTATATTCCGGGCATATATATTCATTTAGCATGTAATTAGCATCTAAAATATTAAAACACCACTGGAAGTGAAAAAGAAAAAGTAGGCAATTTTGAATCATTATGTAAAACATATTTTGGATTTTTTTTTGTTGGAAACGCGTTTATATTTTCCATTATTATCAGAAACGTTTCTCTATTTACAAAACACCCCCAAAATGTTTTCAATAGGTGTCATCTTCTCGGTTTCTAAAACGTTTTCGAAGCATGAAATCGCGTACGAATAGAAGTTTTTGTGCAGCATAGCCAGAAAAATAATTTTCAAAAAAATTTAAGGATCCTAGGAAATAGTTTTGGAAATTATAAAACGGAAAATCAAAATCTAATATGTATTATAATTTTGTCAAAAAGAAAACGAAAAAATAGGAACATCCGCATCATCGAAATCGACGAAATTCAGATTTTTTTTCTTCTAAATTTCACCCCCATTCTGCAAGTATTATGAAATTTCAAATTTCCACTACAAAGTTTTCTCAAAATATCTTAAAAGATGAATTTTAAAATATTAATATATATATTTATTTAACATAAATTAAAATACAAGTGATTCTTTGCCAACATGCCAAGAAAACAAAATGCTAAATTGGGTCAACTGCCACAGCCGGTAACAGCAGTTGCATAACCGGCTGTCCCGGTTTTCATCTCCCCCAAATTTATCTCTTATCCTCTTTCATCTTCTTCACTTTTTTCTCTGCTGCAATTTTTCCGAGCTATGGAAGTAAGTAATACTAATTACAACTCTTTTACCGATTAATTAATTAATCTTATTCGTTAATTCGTTGTATGATTAATCTCGCTAGACTTTGACGAATTTGTCTGTCGATTTTTACAGTAGAATTAGGGTTTCTGAATTATTGAAGTCAATACATGACTGATCATACTTAATTTTGTTCTCACTGCAAACACTTGTGATCGTGTGTTTCTGTATGAGATTGGTTTTATATTTTGATGTCGATTTGGATGCCGAAAATGCGTTCTCGAGTAGGTTTACGATTTTTAGGGTTTTTTCGAGTACTGATTGAAAGTTTATTTTTTACTGGCGTTGAAGATGGTATGATTGTGATCTGAGTAAGTTATTCTGTTAATTGTGTAGTTAAGCTTTTGATGTTTGGAGAGTTGGCTTCTTGTTGGAATTTATGCTTCGTTAGAATCTACGATACGTGATGAAAGTTACCGTAAAGACGTCGAAAATTCAATTACCTGCGTATTTTTCATTTCGATAGTTCTCTAAAGAATATTTTTTTACAATTCTATACGAATAAATATATGTATATGTGCTTATCTTTTGTATTTGTGTATCTCTGATGTTTTCCTTTCGATAAAAAAATAGCTTTTCACAATTTATATGATCTTAACCCACAGATGTCAGATAGTAATGAAGGAGAGGAGATTGTTCGAAAAGGAAACGAATGGGAAGTTGTAGTACTCACAGAATCTACTTATGCTGCTGCTCCTAATCCGAAACAGGACGTTCGAGATACGATTCAAAGCAATTTAATCGGGGAAGATAATGCCGACTCTGCTCCCCCTGCAATGTTCATGTCTGGTCACTTTAAACTTTCACCAAGTACAGATAAGAACTTGCAAGTGGAACCCGTCTACGAGGAGAATATGGGGCAGCAAAGTGGTAATCCCGATTTAAAGCACGAAGAAGATTTGCATATCAAAGGACTGATTTCCGATGAATTTACTGGAGTTCCTCAATTTGATGAAAAGGGCAACACCATGTCATTCTTTAGTTCCGACTTTGGGGATATTGCATCGTCAAATTTGATAGAGAAAGAGCAGAGCATGTACAGTACTCGGACGGTTGTTTCTTGTGACGATGAAGCTAATGAGGGCACTGAGATTGATGACCCGTTTGAATCTCCGGACCAGTCTGTGAATCCAGGCATATCGAATGTGCAGAAACGTATTGAAGAAGATAAGTCGAACGAATCGCCTAATCTACCTTGGTGGAGAAAGCATGGTGCTTCGTTATACGGCCATGTGAAAAATGTGAATCCGTTTTGGCCTTACTTTGTTGCCGCCACAGTTGTTGTGGGGTTTGTGATTATCGGTCGTAGATGGCAGAGGGATAAGCCGCCGGTTTTTCGGATCAAGCCTTTGTTGGTTATTGCCGATGAGGTTAATTAATTAATTATTCTCTTTTTTGACATCTTCCTAATTATAACGGTGAAACCACAGTTGCTGCTGCTGTTGTCTGAGGCCTCGTTTGGTTGCCAAGATAGGATAAGCCAAGATAAGATAATATTATTTTATCTTGGCTAATCTCGACGTTCAAACGAGGCCTTAGTGCATCAGTTTAGTTTTCGGCATTAAAGTCTTGATCCCTCTGATTTTTGTTTAGACTTTAGTTCTTATGTTGCAATGATGTTAATTGGTTCGTATGTTATTGTTGTCTATGTAAACAGGGGTCTGGTTGGGTTATCGGTCCTTTGTCAAGACTTAAGTATGTCTCTTCGGGTGGTCATCGACACAGTTCGTACAGCAGAATGAGCTCCTCGACAGAACTTTGAACGATGAAGGGAAGAAATACGACATTCAAAGTTAGCTCGTGTAAGAAAAAAACCGCGTTTGTCTTGTAGATTTGTTGTCTTGTGGGATTTTACAAATCGATGTGTAATGCTACATATTTATATGGTTGTTTTTGTGTAAATAAGTACATGATTTATTGTAATGTAAGATATGCTATGCTTGCTATATGTTGGTTTGTATATATATATATGTATATATGAATGTATATTTTGTTTTATTGTAAATTAAGATTTGCTTGGCTTGCTATATGTGATTTTATTTCTACATTGTAAATAATTATGAGTGAGTAAGGCAGGTAGCAATTTTTTATTAATTGTATTATTTTAATGAATTAGTCCGGTTCGATTCTAAAAACACTGGTCAGACCTAGGGTGGAAATCGGACGGATATAATCGGAATTATGATTTTTGGGAAAATTCTATTTTTTTTGGAGGTTTCAACTTTCAAGAAAACAAAAAATTGGAATTTCGGAAATAAATACCATTTCAGAAATTGTAAATATTCGAATAGGAGTCGGTCAAATTTCAAATATCTCCTCTTTAGTCATATATAATATAAATTCCATAATAATTTTTTGATATTATAAGTGTAATCTTTGAGAAAACAAATGATATTTTCCTAAATTTAGATTGTACCGAAAATCGGAATTTAATATGTATTCCATTTTCGCTAAGAAATCGGAACTCAAAAATCATAATGAAAAGTTATTACTTCAAAATAAAAAATATATTGATCAAAATCGACATAATTCAAAAATTTCATTTCAATTTTAGTCCATAGTCAGACCACCAACTAAGGGGGGCATTGTTTTGCTAGTTTAAATTGCTTAAAGAATTTGTGATAACTTTGATAATAGTATTTCAATGAATTTATGGTTTAAAAAAATATATAAAATTCATTTCACTACGGTTAATAGTCAAATAGGTTGACCATTAAATTGAGGGGTTGTAAGTGTATTTCTCATACTACGAGGGGTAAGTGTGACATAAGACATAGTTTAAGGGGCTAAAGTGTATTTTACCTAAAAATTAATAAATAAATATTATCGATTTTGTTATAACACAGAAATTGGCGGGAAAATAAAAAGCCCTAACCCCCTTTCGGTTCTGTCCCCCTTCTCTCGATTTGGTAAAAAAATACTAAAGGTGAAAACTGCAGATACACACTTTTTCCAGCGACGACGAAGCCTATAATCTGGTATGAAGTATCGCATTTTTTTTATAATTTTTTTTTGTTTTCTGTTTTTAAATTATAAATCCGAAAAATTATTGATTTTGCGCAGAGATGGGTAAAGACGAAACCCCCAAACGCAACAGAAGATCCACAAGACAAAGCTCCACTCCGAATTCAAAAGCTCCACCGGAATCTTCCAAAGCCACTAACCAACTGAAATCGTTGTCTGTTAACGACCTCGTGTTCTCCACTGAAACCCTAAGTCTCGATGATTTGATTGGTTCGTTCCCAGGAAGGCGGTCACAGATTCTCGAATTAATCAAGCTTGTGGGCCCTTTGGATTCACCGATGATGCCGTTGTTCGTGTACGGAGGTTCTTCGACTGGAAAAACGAGCACTATACTTCAGATATTCAAGCACCTGAATCGCCCGTTCGCTTATTCTAGTTGCATCAGTTGTTATAGTCCTAGGATAATGTTTGAATCTATCTTGAACCAGCTTTTGCTTCATAGGAGGAACGAGAGCTGCGGTTATTTGAGTGCCAAGCGGTGCGAAAAGCCCTCTGATTTTGTCAATCTTTTGCGTGAAGCTTTGAGTAGTCTTGTAGACAGTTTGAAAGGGAATAATGTGGGAAAATCGGGCTCTAAGAAGTCTCCGACACAGGTTAATGGGAGGATGGTTTATTTGATTTTCGATAATATAGAGCTTGTTAGAGAATGGGACAAGAGTTCTAGTATCGTACCACTTTTGTTTAATTTGTACGACATTCTGAAAATGACGGAAGTTGGTATGATTTTCGTCAGTAAAACTTCTCTTGATACGTTCGAGTCAGATACAGGTTATGCTGAGCCTTTCCCTGTCTATTTTCCTGACTATACGGAAGATGACTTGCGCCAAATATTCATGAAAAAACAAGAAAATCCAAAGCTGTATTCATCCTTTCTAGAGTACGTAATATTACACTTTACTTATCAGGCCTTGTTGTGTGGTTTGCTTTTATCATATTGGTCGTAAAAGAATGAACTTCATTTTCATCTTTTCTTTTTTCTGTTGAACAGTTTGGTGTTGAGGCCGTTCAGTAGGATTACAAGACGAGTCGATGAGTTATCTAATGCATTTACACCTCTATTTAAGAAGTACTGCGAACCTGTTGTTGATTTGGGAGCTGTTCCAAGTGAAGATATGAAGAGGAAATTATTTAGTCATCTTAAACCGTTTATCACGCAGTCCCTGAATGAGACATTTAATGTTCCTTCTCAATCTTTGCTCAAGGCCTCGTCCAACAAAGAAAGGAACACGAGGAAGAGTATTGCAAAGAAGCTTGGAGGTTGCGAAATGCTAGATGAGATCGACTTTCATATGTCTACTTCTGCAAAGTATCTGCTTATTTGTGCATTTCTTGCTTCGAGAAATCCAGCAACCCTCGATGCCTCGCTCTTTGATTCAACAGGAGGATGTGACAATCGAAAAAAGAAAAGAAAGTAAGGGATTGGCACACAGATATCCGATATGTATAACTCTTCAATGTTATGAACATATATTCATATTGTTTCTCCTGAAAAAAAATATTTTCTTTCTTCAAAATAACAGACTGACATAGCCCTTTTACTTTGTACAATCGCATCTTTACTAGAGTCTTTGCTCAAAATACGCTATTTTTGCTCATAGTGGAAGGACCAGATGTTCTATGTATCATTCTGATTTTTTTTCGACTGTTAGAATTAACGAATCTGTTGTATGGTCTTTATAATTTCTTTTCAATTCTATCTTTATTCAGGGTTTCTGAAAGATCGATGGAGCAGAAAGACAGTAAAGAACAAGAATTACTCATGAAAGGGCCTGGATCTTTCCCCCTCGAAAGGTTGTTAGCCATATTTCAATGCATCACAACTGTGGCAGATTATTCACCTGATGACGAAGAACAAGAAAATGTTGGCGTGGGAGCCGAGGGTTCTGACAGTGGATTAATGTCCGATATTCTCTTGCAATTATCCAGTCTTTGCAGTGCCAATTTTATTACCAAAGGAGGAAGCTGTCCGCTCGAAGGCTCAACACGGTATCGATCAACTGTATCCGAAGATATGGTTTTGAAGGTAATAAACCGAACCATGCATATGTAGAGTAGTTTCTGAATTAATCTTTTGTTTGATTTAGTCATGTGATGTTTTCAAGTGGCTTACAGGTAGCGAGGAGTCTGAAGTTCCCGTTATCGAATACTT